AAATAATCACATATGGGAGGCAGAGTTCTCAACTTCTCAAGATACACAGCCAAAAGTTATTCTCACCTGTTCTTGCTCAGACCTCAGTGCCTTGTGTCCCTTGTCATTTGGACCTGGTGTTTTACAGCCATCTCAGATGATGTTTTCCTCTATATGTTACCCAACCCATTTATCAGTAATTACTACTAATGAGTGACAGAGATTTGAACATTTTGCAGATGTCTTTCTGAGATTATTTCAAATCTCCATGCAGACACTGTCACTGTACATAAAAGTGAAGTGATAATTAACTCCCAGCAAGACAATGACCTCCCAGTGTGCCAAACCTTCATCTCAGGAATAAAACACTCCTATGCACACACACTCTAGTTGTCACCATGGTTGTTCCTGTTCCAGAGAAAATGACTAGGTAAGTTTTCCTCATCTTTTTAGATGGATTTGTTTCTCTGGAAATCTCTTAAGAAAAATGGAATGGATTTACAACTTGTTTGAGAGAGGCTTTTTGTCTTGTATAGAATTGGCCACAAAGTCTTAGGTTCAAATGATGTATATTTTTCAGTCTACCTGTGTGCCTGCCCAGGTAGAACAATTTAAAAACCGGTGGTAACATGCTGTCATGTGGTTGATTATGAGACTGTGCCCCTGAGGATTTTCTGTAGTTGTCCACATAACCACACACCTCCTTCCCTAACTTACTGTCTCTGGGAAGAAAGATGAATTATATTGTACCACTTATTTCATATTTACAGAAAGTTTCTATGACTGTCTATATGAAAGGTCAAGGGACAAAATAGCAACAGCTGACCAAGGGAGCAAGATGAAATGGTATATGCCTTTAATGCAAACACTGAGGTGGCAGAGGCAGGTGAATATTTGTGAGATTGAGGCCAGCCTGGTCAAATAAGTGAGCCCAGGCCAGCTGGGTCTACAGGGAGACCCTGTCTCAAATACAAAACAAAAGACATAAAAATCGACCAAGGTATTTGCAAGATTTTAGGGCAGGAATAATTAGAATCTATTGACATATCACCTATGACCCTGACATGTAATCAGATTGAAAGTAGATTGTAGTCCTGTAGTCTCTGCACCTGCCTTTGGTCTTTGGGATTTTCAAAACTGTCATCCTTGTTGAATCTCTAAACAGTGAAAACAGACTCTAATCCAGACTAGCAGATCTGTGAAGAGAGTGTTTTTCTGTTCACAAACTAGATGTGTCCAACTTATTCCTTAATTGGGTCTGTACAGAAAAGGCATTATAAAGGAAAGGAGCACTTTCTGTATCCGTGAAGGCCTGCTGTTATTAAATGACACAGGGATTTGGAACACAGGTGATTCTGGATTCAGGTTATTTTCTTGTTTCAATTTGTTGGTTTAATAACTGTATTTCATTTGTAAAGATGTTTCCACCAGATTTATGAACAAGTACATGGAAACATGGGGTTTTCTCCTATTCATTTTATCTCCATCTTATATAACACTGGGATTGATTTTAGTGATTGGAATTGAACCTGGAGCCTTGTACCTACTAGGTTAGCATTCTACCCCTGAGTATTCACTTAAAGGTTTATTTTTATTACTTTTATTTATGTGGCCGTGAAGGCCACATGTATGCAAAAACCAGGAGACATCATCAGATCCGTGAAGGTAGATTTACAGATTACTGTGACCCACCATACTTGAGTGCTGGGAACTGAACTTGGGTTCTATGAGAAGCAGTAAGTACTCCTAAAGTCTGAGTCGTTTCATATTTGTTCATGGCTTAGTTTCATTGTATCCACAGATACTCTCTTTTTTAAATTTCATGATATCTCTTTTCATGGCAGGGGAGGGGGTATAGCTCAGTTGGTAGAGTGCTTGCCTAGCATGCACAAAACCCCAAATTCAAGCCCTAGTGCTATATAATCCTGTGAATGGGGGCACATCTCTGTAATCCTAGCATTTGGGAGCTAGAGGCAAGAGGATCAGAAGTTCAAAGTCACCTCCTGGGTAAATGAGATGTTGAACAGAGTTATAAAAAAGCAGGGCATGGTGGTACATACTTATAATCCTAGCACATGAGAAGTGGAGCCAGGAGGATTGAGTTCTAGGCTAGCCTAGCTACATAGAGAGCTTGAGTCCAGCCTAGGCTACATGAGGCCTTTTTTTTTCTTTAAACTTTAAAAAAATTATTTGTATGTGTGTATTGCCTACATGTAGGTAAGTGCACCTATGTTGTGTGATGCCCACAGAGGTCAGAAGAGGCTGTTGGATCCACTGGACTGGAGTTATGGACAGTGGTTATCTGCCATGTGGGTGCTGGGATTCAAACCTGGGTCTTCTGCAAGAACAACCAGTGTTCTTAACCATCTCTGGCTGAACCATCTCTCCATTCCCAAGGTCTTGTTTTAAAAAAAAATTTCCAGGCCCAGCATGGTGCCACATGCTGTTTATCCCAGAACTCCAAACAGGAAGTTGGGTGATCTGTGTGAGATCCTGGCAATGTGGTCTACATATCTAATTCCAGACAGCTTCAAGCTACAAGGTGATCCTGTCTCAAAACAAACAAACAAAAAATCAAAACCCTAATTCAGCCAAAACAAATCATTAGAAGACCAAAATTTTATTTTATGTAAGAATTCTTGAAGAATTTATCGTATCCTGATTTGGTTTCCTGCCTCCTTGTGGTATCTTTTAACATAATTGGTGGTTTTGTTTTATTTGCACCATAGTTTCTTAAATAAATAATGAATCAAAATATTTTTTGGATGCATGTGGTGTATGTGCATGTGTATTTGCAAGTTGGCATGCACATGACTCTGTGTGTGTGTGTGTACGCCAGGGTACAAACAGCCCACCTCCAGGATGCCCCATTTCTGCCTCCTGATGGCTGGGACTCTAGGTGGGACACCATCACTCATATGGTATTTATGTGGGTGCTGAGGTTCCAAACACTGGTCCTCACACTTGCATAGTGAGCATTTTACCCTCTGAGCTGTCTCCCAGCCCCTAACGAACCTATTTTTATATTCAGATAAAATCATTCATATGCCTTCACGTTTATTTCTTTCCATTACTTTTGTTTCAAATGAAAACATTTCATCTCTCTATATTTTTGTGACATCATGGTCAGTGTAACCAGTAGGATGCTGTATTAACAGGCAGATTCACATGTCATGATTTCATCATTAACTTGCCTCCCAAAGGCTACAGCAGCCACTGATGCTCATTGTCTGCACACGTGATAGATGGGTTGTCCAGGGTGGTCTTCCTTTTACTTTCATGAGGCGGAGAATATCTACAGAAGAGAGAAACTTGCCAGAGGAGTAGTTCTGTTACCAAGAAAGAGCTTGATTCTTCCCATTACTTGGTTCTTCTTCCTCCAGTGCAAGCTTTTTGATTTTGCTTTTATTGTTTAGTGTTTTTAAAATGTATTTGTGACATTTAAGAAAGTGCTAATCAGAGCTTAGTGTGACATCTAAGAAATGTGCTCGGCTGCTGAGTGCAGTCCCAGCCCCCAGTCTTTGCCTTAAAATTTGTTTTATTTTCTTTTTATGTATATGAGTGTTTTCCCTGAATTTATGTAAGTGTGATACATGCATGTAATGCCAGCAGGGGCCAGAACAGTGCTTTGAAACCCCTGGAACTGGGGATAAGAATGGAACTTAGCAACCATGTGGGTTCTGGGAACTAAACCCGAATCTTCTGCAAAAGCAGGGAGTGCTTTTGATCACTGAGCCATCTCTCCAGACCCCCTATGGTTTTCCTTTGAGTCCAGGTCTCACTTTAGGGCTGGCTGGCCTCCAAATCACAGAGAGCCACTTGCTCTGCCCCCCAAGTGATGGAATCAAAAGCATGTACCAATATGCCCAGTGCTAGCTTTGTTTTTAATGGTATTTAATTCACAGTTTGTCTATGCCTATTTGTTTTACTCCATTACATATACGACTTAATATAACCACCCTGCTCTTTGCCATTGGAATTCATTTATGATAATTCTTTCTCTCTCACAGGTCCATTGGTCCTTGTTTCTTCTTTGGTGCAGGTGGTTTTAGGTTTATTCCTTTATCTCCTGCCCTAGATGCACTTTTAGCTATTTATTCAGGAAGTTCTGATTGCCTAAATGTGATGGTGCACATCTGCAACCCCACATGGCAGAGGCAGACTTAGGAGAACTGCCCAGGAATTCAAGGCCAGCTTTGACTACATCATGTGACCTTGTCTCCAAGTCCAACTGCCCTTAAAAAATGGTATTTAAAGGCTATATACACATGTGATCCATATAGAATATGTAATTATGAAATGTTACTTGTTATGTTATTTATATTAAGTCTATAACTTTTATTCAATTATTTATTTAGAATTATGCTCAATTCTGTTTAAAATTCAATGTTTATATTATCTCATCGGTTGATTAAGTCTTAATTCTGGCATAAGTTTATATATTTTTTTATTTTTAAGGTTAATATTTAGGTTTATGAATTATATTTGACACTAATTTTGGCATTATATATTTTAAAAGCAAACTTTTTTAGATTTTTTTAATTTATTGTGAGTGCAATTGTGTATGAATATATGGTTTTGTGTGTGTGTGCGCACGCGCACATGCCTGTGTAAACTGGTGTGTGTGTGGACCCGAGGCCAAGTTGCCACAGTCAGTTCTCTCCTTCCACCATATGGGTCTTGGGGATCTTGACCTCATCAGGTTTGACTAAAAGACCTTTACCAGGTGATCTATCCAACTTCTCCAAAAGGTGCAGTTCTAAACTAAAACAAGAAATAAGATACTTTTGTGGCAACCTGGCTTCATGCTGACCCTTCTGAACTGTTTATTCACTCTCTCACAAGGGCCCATTTTTTAATTTTTATTTTTTTGGAAAATATTTTATTATTTTTATTTTACATGTATGCGTGTATTGCGTGCATGCATGTTGTGCAATGCCCACAGACGACAGAAGAAGGCATCAGATCGCCTCGAACTGGAGTTACAGACAACTGTAAGTGGCCATGTGGGTGCTGGGATTTGAACCTGGGTCTTTTGCAAGAACAGCCAGTGTTCTTAACCACTGAGCCATCTCTCCAGCCCTACAAGGGCCCATTTTAGAGATCTCAATGTATTCTTATTTGTTAAAGATGTAAGAACAGAGACACATGTGTACAATTATTATCTCTATGTTTTGTAAATACTGTTGTTCCTCAAAGGGTAGCAGTCAAGAGGACGTCCTCATCTCATCCACAGTGCTTCAACATTCAGCTTGGGAATAAGAAGACCGTTCATCCTTTCATTGTCTGGGATGGATAGCTTCCAGTTTTTGTGGTCAAAACTAACACTGTAAGCAGTCTCTGGGGTTTACAAAAGATTTGTTCTTGATGTTCATATTCAGATAAAAATGGGATTTCTGAGATATGATATTTGTTGAATTGGTAAAATTCAGACCCCATTTCAATATTTCCCGGATTCAGCTAAAATCAAAGACCAACTTCTTCAACAAATGGATGCATTGGCTTCTGTTAATCTGTCCTGGGCTGTGGTCTTTCTCATTCAGACCACAGCTGGAATCATTGCAAATTCTTTGCTCTTTTGTCTGTATCACTTCCCATTGCTCACGGCACAACTGGTGAGACCCACAAACTTGGTTGTCAATCAGCTGGTGATATCCAACTATTTGGTTCTTTTCTCCAAAGGCCTCCCTCAGACAGTTGTGGCATTTGGGTTGAAATCTTTCCTGGATGAGGCTGGGTGTAAAGTTATCATCTATGTATACAGAGTGTCCAGAGGAGTCTCCCTCAGCACTACCTCCCTCCTCAGTGGCTTTCAGGTCATTAAAGTTTGCTACAATACTTCCGGGTGGGCAGGGACCAGGATTAGATCCCCAATGTGTATTGGCACCTGCTGTTTCCTCTGCTGGATCCTGCACCTCCTGCTAAATATCATTATCATTATGGACGTAACTGGTACAGTGAACAGCAAAACCCTGAGTGCTGAAGGACTCTACAGATACTGTTCCTCACCCATTCATAAGAGATTGACATTCCTCATAATGTCAGTGATTTACTCCCTTGTTGATATTACAAGCCATGGTCACATGGCCTGGGCCAGCGGCTCCATGGTCCTTGTCCTGCACAGGCACAAGCAGCGAGTCCATCACATTCATAGCCACAGCCTCTCCCAAATACCTTCCCATGAGTACATAGCCACCCACACCATCCTGGGCCTGGTGAGCATGTTTATATCCTTTTACTCTCTAGCTTCCATCTTCTCACTTTGCATAACCCAGACTGAACCCAAGCCACTGGATGCTGAACACCGCTGTGCTGCTGTCTTTGGGCTTCCCAGCACTCAGCCCCCTTGTGCTCAGTTTCAGCAACACTCGAATTCCACAGTTCTGCTTTGTCCCTTGGACAAGGAAAACAAATCGTCCCACTGTGGTCTCTGGGCTTTGAGTTCCTTCCAGGGCAGTTCTACTTCATTTGACCTCCTTTGCTCAGTATTTTCCTCCACTCTTTAATCTGCAAAAAAAAAAAAAAAAACCTATGGGATTTGATATTGAATAAAATAGTAATGGTAATTATTGTTTCAAAGTGCTTATTAAACTGTCAAACAAGTGAACTCCATGTAAAAATTAGATAAATGTATGACTATTCCTTTTTAGAATCCCATAGAACTACCAGCCTGTAATTTCTGCACTCTGGAGCTGAGGATTTGGAGCTTAAGTCCATCCTTAGCTACTTAGCCATTTAGAGGCCAGCATGGGCTATGTGAGACCATCTCAAAAACAATTACCAGTAAAGATCACTACATAAGATGGAGCCCATACCTGTCATTGATATCAGGACTAGAAATCTGAGGCTAGACAGGTCACAGGTCACAGGGAAGAGTCTTACAATATTTTTTTCCTAAATAGATGTAGTAGTAAACTGACTTGTAATGACTTATTGTTATACCAATAGATTAATGTATCTCTCAATTCTCACCAAAGAAGCATTTTTATACAGCAGATGGTGATTAACACATGCAGAGAATAAGAGGATGCAGAGTGCTTATCCCTGAATAGGAGACTATATCAAACCTCTGCTTCCAAAGGCTCAGGGACCACTGCAGGGGAGGGGGGAGAAAGATTCTATGGGCCAGACATTGTAGAAACAATAGTTTTCCAGACAGATGGGCAGTTATTTATATGAACTCACAATGGTGACAGCATGCACAAGTCCCATGTAAGCTCAAGCCAGACAGCATGGATATGAGGAAGTGAGTTAGAAACCTTAACTCTTCCTGAGAAATTATTGATAACCTATGGCTGCTGGAAGGGACAGAGTTAGTCTTGTTTAAGTGTAAGACTCTGGTAGGTTGACCAGACTTCAGTGATGGACCACATCATTGGGAATTTGGGGACACACAATTGATCCTATAGGAGAGAGAGAGAGAGAGAGAGAGAGAGAGAGAGAGAGAGAGAGAGACTTCTGAGCCATCTCTCCACTGCCCACATATACAAAATTTAAGAAATGAAATAAATCCTATCTGGGCGTGGTGACGCACACCTTTAATCCCAGCACTCAGGAGGCAGAGGCAGGCGGATCTCTGTGAGTTCGAGACCAGCCTGGTCTACATAGTGAGTTCCAGGGCAGCTGGGGATACAGGGAGACCCTGTCTCAAAAAGATAAAAAAAAAGAAAAAAAATTGAGCGGGGGGATGCAGATTAGGGAGAGGATCCAAATTCGATCAAAATGTATTATGCGAAATTTTCAAAAATTCAATAAAAACACAAACGAAACAATTAGCATTTAATTCAGAAATTCTCTAATTCTCTGATGTGGTGGCATGCACCTCTACTTCTAGCACTCAGGAGGGAAGGACATCCTAAGCATACTGAGGTCAAGGTCAACTTGGACAACATGAAACAGTCTTAAGAAGGAAGAAAATCAAAACTGCAAAATAAACAGAAGCCGTTTTCAGCAATTCCCACTGCACTCAAAAGAACAGACACCAAGGTCTTGAGCAGAATCCGAAGGGTTTCCAGAACAGTCAGAACGCGAGAACAACTGAAATGTCAGTGGATGGAAAAGCAGACCCACAGAACTTGTTTTATCAAACAACGAATAGAATGACGTTATAAGTGAAATAAGCCAGAGAAAATGATTATTATATAATTATATGTATATTTACATTTGGTACTGAAAATATAGGCAGAAAGTTACTAATGATTCAGCAGGGCTGAGAAAAAGACAGTTGTTTACTGTTTAGTTTCTTTTTTGTATGATGTAAAATTCCTGGAATGTTGAGAATGCTTGGAGTGACATGAATTTACTTAGTGCTACATAATTGTGAATTAAAATCACATAGAGCTACATTTCATGTCTTGTATATTTTACCACAATAATAGTAATTACTCAAAAAGTGACTGCAGGCATCTATTGGAGAGGGGCACTTCCTCTCCTCTTCCTACATGATAGTGAGAAGCTTGTCAAGACCTTTCAAAGCAAATAATTGAAATGTGTGTCATGTGGGTATGTGTTTGAATGTGAGTGCCACACATCGTGTGTATGGGAGTCCTGAAGCTGATAGATCCCTTGGTGCTTGTATTGGATAGCTTTAGTGCCAACATGACAAACTTGGGTAGAGGGAGCCCCAATTGGGGAATTGCCTCCATTGAACTGGCCTGTGGTCATGTCTGTGGGGCACCTTCTTGACTATTGAGTGATGTGGGAAGGCCCAGCTCACTGTGGACAGGTGGGCCTATATTGTATAAGAACGTAGTCTGAGCATGGGCCAAGGGAACAAGCCAGTAAGCAATGTTCCTCCATGTCCTATGCTTCAGCTCCTGTCTCCAGATTCCTGCCCTGAGTTCCTACCTTGGGCTCCCTGATGAATTGTGATCCAGGAGATGTAAGACAAATAAATTCTTTCCTCCCCCCGGTTGGTATTGGTCAGCATTTGTCACAGCAATGGAGAAACAAACTAGAACAGTGCTTGAGCTACATATTGTGAGCTGTCTGGCGACACTGGTACTAGGAATCGAATTCCAGTTCTCTACAGTAGCAGCAAGCACTCTTTATCACAGAGCCGTCTCTCCAACACACAGGGGCACTTGAAAAACAAACACAGAGAAGCAAAGTCCAAAGAGCAGGAAGTGGATGCAAAAGAGCTAGGAGCTCAGGACTGGAGGCAACAGCACATTCTGCAGTTGAGTTCTCTAGGTGGACTCTCCCTGGGCAGGGGAAGATGCAAGGCCTCTGGCTGGGTTCTCTATCCTCCTCACTGCAGGTCAACCTCCCACTGTCACTGGAGATCAGATTCACACAGGAACCCTTAGGGATTCCAGCTTATTCTATCAGGAGTAACAATGACATGGTTAGTCTCAGAAGCTGAAGCTAGCCCACATGTCCTCACAGGCTGACACTCCACCTGTGACAAACCAACAATCCACTTCACAAGGATGTCACGCAACGCCTAGTACCGATGAGGGAAACCCTTTCTTCTAAGATTGTGATATCGATGTGGGAACACTACTGACTTCATAAATGTGTTTGCTGCCAGTATGGTGCTGCTGCGTGAGAATTCCATCACAGACACATGAACACTGAGAAGAGTTCGGATTCCACCATCCTCCCTCCAGGAGGTGATTATTTCACTGCTCAGCACTGCGACACCAGGACTGTAGAATATCTCTGGAAGGTAGTTGTAGAGTGAGCAAATTAGTTATCAGTGTTCATACTACCCAGTAAGGATGACATAAGTATCTAGAAAAGTATCTGAGAACCCCAAGGACACGAACCTCCGCTGGGGCAACTACAGAACAGTCTTATCTGGGAGTCTGGTTAAGCCCAACATATGCTGGAAATGACATATATGGTCACCTTGTGGTACTTATCCTTTATTCTTCCATACAAAAGGACGGTGAGCATATACCTCCACTCACTGGAAAAGTGTCCCTTCTCCATCTTTCTGGAGCACCTCAAATGTAACTGTGGTATCGATGGTTCATTTTCACTTACTCATAACCCCTCCCCCAACTACCATAGCTCATGCTGTCACAACAAAGTATCACAATCTGATTGGTTTAAACAAGAAATTTTATCATAGTCCTAGACTGCAGAATTTTGAGGTATAGCTGCCAGCATAGTCAGGTTCTGGTGAAGGCTCTTCCTGACTTTGCAGGCATCTTGTGTGGAATTGCCACTATCCAGTACATATTCACAGAGCTCTCTGGTGCCTTACTCTTCTTTTAAGAACACCTGTCTATTGGGTTAGGACATACACGCACCACTTCAAACTTAAATATACCTTTTAGAAAAGATTTGTTCTTCTTAGCTGGGAGTGGCGGCACACGCCTTTAATCCCAACACTTGGGAGGCAGAGGCAAACAGATCTCTGTGAGTTCGAGGCCAGCCTGGTCTCCATAGCAAATCCAAGTCAGCTGTGGCTACAGAGAGACCCTGTCTCAAAAAGATTTGTTTTTAATTTTTAAGTATTTGTATGTGTGTTTATCTTGTGTGGGTTGGTGCACATTAGTGCACTGCCCAGAGTCCAGAAGACTATTGGACTCCCTAGAGCTGGAGTTACAGGTGGTTGTAAACTGCCCAATGTGTATTCTGGGAACATAACTCGGGTCCTCTGCAAAAGCAGAATTAGCTATTACCTGCTAAGCCATCTCTCCAGCCTCCTTAATTACCTTATTAAAGGTCCTATCTATAAATAAAGCCATGTGGGAGATGAGATTGAGCTTTTTTTTTCCAATGCTGAGTGGAACATTAAACCGAGAACCTCATGAATACCAGGCAAACATTCTACCACTAGCCACACAGCACCCCCACCCCCACCCCCACCCTCACCCCCAGGAATGACTATTTTGAGGGACATATTTCAGCCCACAACCCTACCTTTGTACAGCTCTTGTTTACAGTCTGATGCTTCAGGAGATTAGAGCTGAAGGTAAACGACTTCCCGCACTCATTGCATTCATAAGGCCTTTCATAACTCCTCCATGGCTTCTACTTCAGCTCCTGCCTCCAGGTTCCTGCCCTGAGTTCCTACCTTGGGCTCCCTAAGAGATCAACTGTGACCTGGGAGATGTAAGCCAAATAAACTCTTTCCTCCCCAAGTTGCTATTGATCAGTTTTGGGGACCTAAAAGCCCCACCTTGCATAGGTCTGAAAGGAAGTTACTGGGGGCGCGGCCTGGCTTGCTTTGAAAGTCTGAAGAATACTTCCGCACTGCTGAGAAGTGCATGATCCACGCATGACCATCCTTAAGATACACCCTCAGTGGTGAGAGGGGAGTTCCAGGTGCCTTTATAAGCTTTGTAACACCTGCAATAAATGAGTCTCTGCCTAAGACTCCCCATTGCGTCTGAGTGTCCCCAGGTAATGGGGGCAGCGAGGGCTGGCGAACAGCATGCTTACTCATCCCCAATCCTCACCTCACCGGGGGTCACTGGTTCGAACCCAGGCAGTCAGTGTTTTGTCACAGCAATTGAAGGCAAACTAGAACAGAGCCCAAGGTAGGAACTCAGGGCAGGAACCTGGAGCATAGGCCATGGAGGAATGTGGCTTACTGGCTTGCTCCCCTGACTCCTGCTCAACCTGCTTTCTTATATAACACAGGACCCTCTGCCTAGGGGTGGCACTACCCATAGTAGTGGAATGGGCCCTCCCTCATCATTCAACAATCAAGAAAATGCCCCACAGACATGGCCACAGGCCAGTCTAATGGAGGCAATTCTCCAATTAAGGTTCCCTCTACCCATGTGTGTCAAGTTGACAACTAAAGCTAACCCCTTTGCTTTACTCAGTGAGGGTCCTGCTTTCACATGAATAAACCAGCCAGCAACATCCATCTGGCCTTGTCCAACCCAAAGGGTTTAGAAAGAGGAACCCAAACCTGTCCCATACTCTGTGGTAAAGAAAATAAAACCTGAGACTCCAGGGAAGTAGTTGGTGCTCCAGCTCTGGAACCCCTCCCCTCAAAGGGAGTCTATCTCTTTGTGTGCTGTGTGGAATGTCAACTTTTGCTTTAATAAACCTTGGCTGTGTGTTGTGATTGTAAACTTCTTATCTTGTAATTCTTTACCTGGCAAAGAAACAAACCTAGAAAAAGACTCAGACTTTTAACATGGCCAAAACAAACTTTGTTATTTATAGTGAATACTACTCCAACTACCAGCTTGTTAATTATAGTTGATGGAGCTTTTTAACCCTGTAATGGTTAATACTAAAAACCCTGGAATCGTTTTTGATTCCAGTTTCACTCCCTCCAACCACATTAAATAATCTAGTCCTTCCTTTTAACAACACATATGCAGAATCCAACCTCATCTCCTAAGTCACAGCTCTGATCCATTAACCCTCAACTGAACTGTGCCCAATGACCTCGACCCTAACCTTTCCTCCTCCTTCAACTCCACAGTCTGCACTTGACCCTGTGGACAGATGGAAACCATTAAGACCTTGATAAATTACCTCCCTGCTCCAATCCTATACCTAATCCTAATACCTAATACCTCCAAAACAGACACCAAAATTCTCAGGCAGCATTTTCAACTTTTTTTTTTTTTGCACTGTTGGGGTCCAAACTCAGGGGTCGTTGAGCATGCTAGGCAAAGTACCCTTCCACTGAGCTACAGTCCTTGCCCCAGTGTTTGCAATTTTGGCTTCCATCACATTGTTTATTCCTACCAGAAAGCAAGGCTTACTAGTGCCTAAAATTACTTCCAAGCACAGGTGCATCATCTCTTCGTGGACTAACCTTTCACACCCGTTCATACTGGGTACCAATAAAATGCGTCTTCCACTTCCTTATACAGGCTGACACGATCTTAGGACTTTGGGCTCGAGGTTTCTCCAAGGTCCCAGGAATCAAGGACAGGAAGATTGACAGGATCCTCCAGATACCATGAGAACATGCAGATGGATGCCAAGCCCAGCGAGGGCTGGCACGCTTCCATTTCTCGGTGTTACTTTCACCCCTTCTAGAGCCCTGGGAGTCAGACCGTGGAGGAACAAGAACAGTGGCAGAGTGGTTCACAGGCCTCCGGCTCTAGGATGCGCCCGAGCCGGGAGCACAAGCTCTCCCTGAATCCGGGTCCGCAGCGCGGCCGCAGCCATCGCACTCCGCTGGTGCAGCAGTGTCGCGCCGCCCCTCCCTTCAGCTGGTCCAGACACAAACCACAGCGCCCGGCGCGGGGCATTCTGGGAAATGTAGTTCCTACCGGCCCGGGCACGTTCGGATAGCTTCAACTTCCAAGGGCAAAGGGTCCATGGCCAAAGTATTCAGAGTGCTCTCTGATTTCTTCTCATTGCTTATCATCTTTGTATGTGTGTGTTTACGGGTATGATTCTACATAACAAATTGATAAGCTTCAGAAAGCAATCCTAAGATTACCTAAAAATACTAATAATGATTACTTAGTGCTTATCCAGGGAAACATCATTGGAAAATAAAAGAGTGAAAGTGTCAGAGAATTTTTAGTGGTTATATGAGAAAAGTTGGAATTAGCAGAGAATGTGACAAGATTGGGTACTGGATTTTATCTCCAAGATATAATGTTTCATTCTTGAAATTATGGAGCAATATCCGTGTGGAGGAAGAGTTAAAGGGGACAATGAGTAGCCGGAATTGCAAAAACATGTAAGGGTGCTATGTTCCCTGTGTTAATACAAAATCAGGGAGCAGATACTTTGCTTCAGGCACTTATTAACCCACTCATAGGAAACACTGGGATGCAGGAGAGACAAAGAGTTTATCCATCATGAGGCTTATGTTATTCAAGAAACACAGAAGTGTGAAATATACAGTAAACTGTACAATCTGTTAGAATGTGGCAGGCACAAAGAATGGTGAAAGGAAAAAGGGGAAAGTCTTACAGGTAAAGTACAGGAGCATCATGGTCCACACCTCCCAGCACTCAGGAAGGTGAAGCAGGAGGATCATAATTTCTAGGTCAGCCTGAGCTATACAATAAGATCTTTTCTCAAAAACAATTAAAATTTTAAAAAATATGTCACCAAGCATAGTAAGGGAGATGTCTTTAACAAATGAGTAAACACTTGAATAATCTAAGCCTTGAGTCATGTGGGAATTTCTGGTGTAAATTCCAGGCAGAAGCAATAGGTTGTTAGGCAGTTTCCATGGATAGAGACCTCCTCAGTGGTGCAGGGGCATCCAAGGATTTTCATTCAGTTGTCATAGCCTGACTTACTCACTGTAAAGATGGACACTCAAGTTATATGAATAGGAAACTATGGCTCCTGCTTAATACCACAATGAATGACTGGAGCCTAGAACTAACAAGAGGCCTCTCTTAACAACCCCAACCCCCACTCCAGCTCCCTAGAAACTACAGTCCACTCTCTACAACTATAGGCTTCCCTTTTGCACAAATGGAATCACACATTATCATACACTAATGTGTAGTGTACTGTACTGACCAAACTGACCCATTTTGGATAAAGCAGCCATCTTAGAAGCTTAGCCATAGCTTATTTCTAGCTCAAGGATTGTTTTCAGAAACCCTGACCCCTTTCCCCCTTACCTCCCAGGAGAATGCTGCCATGGTCACTTGCTCTCCAAACATATAGAAAACAAAATTATATTATGACTAACTGCTGATTCTGGCTTCTGTAACTTGCTTGTGTTGCTATTTTAGGGCAACTTGACATGAGATCACCCTCTACCCTGTTATTTGGGGACCACCTTGTCAACATTCCTTTTGTGGTTTTTAGCTTTAAAAAGTCCCCTTTCCATCCCCACTGCAGCTCTCTAATCTGATACGTGACTGCAGTGGAAGCTACCTTGAATGAAATCTTTTATCCTGATCTGAATTGAGTGGAGTGGTCTTTCCTCAGTAGATCTGGGCTCCATAACTACCTCAGCACTTTTTTTTTATTGATGAAAAGTATTCCATTGTATGGACAAGGTGACATTTTGTTCATCCACTCATCAGTAAATGAAACATTTCACCATGCAGTCCAGGCTGGTCTTGAACTCACAATCCTATTACCACCAGCTTGTGAGGGCTGGGATTACAAGTATATGCCACCAGGACATGGGTGATGCTGTTATGAAAATAGACGCTCAGGGTTTTGTATGGACATGTATACCTAAAAGTGGAATTTTTGGGTCATGCAGAAATCCAATGTTTATCTTCCTAGGGATGGCCAGACTGTTTTCATTAGCGCCTGGCATAGTTATGAATGTTACTGAACACAAACTTGTAAATATACTTAAAACAGTGAGGTGTTTTTGAGTCAGTTCTCCAGTGTAAACTTTGTACATAACACTGGGTTGAAGGGTTAAAAAATTGGACACATTTGAATCTTGCCTTTTCTATCTTCCCACAGCTCTTGGCTCCTCCCAGCTTGCTGCAGAGGAGCTGGAACTAACACCTGACAAAGACGGCTGTCTTTATCTCATGTTATGTGTATCTTGCCATTCTCGGTTTCCTCGTGTGTAAATTGGAGACAAATGACTGTAACTGATAGAAAATATCACTTAGAAAGTTGGGTTTAGTGAAAGTATTTTGCTACCACAGTCTGGGGAAAACCCCAAAGGAATTAGCTATGTTTCTGGTTTGAAGCAAAAGAAGAAAATCCCAAAGATTTGTCTCCCACCCTTAATGAACTTGTACTTTTTTCCTATTTTCCACTTAAGTTGTAATTATTCATGGACTTTCAAAGCTAAAAAGTGAGAGTTGCTGTATCATATCAATTTATTTCTGATTCATGCTTCTGAAGTTTCTTTGTGTTCTTCTACAGTATTCTCTAGGAGCATGTCCTGTCCAAGTTCTCCGCCATCTGTCGTCCCCACAGCAGCTCACACATCTACCATCTCTTCCTTCCGCTTTCATAAGTTCTCCATTGTCTCATAATGCTCCATTTTTTCATCAAAGCCGACAGTCTTGGATGTGTTTTCTGTAGACAAATTTCGTTCTCCCTTCAATTTCTTCAAAATGTTTTCCCTTCTTTTACTTCTAATAACTGAAATGTAGACATTGTTGAGTTTTAAGTAAATAGAGGACATGGATGAAGGCAAAAGGGTGAAGCAGAAAAGCATAGGGAAACAAAGGTATGAGTGACAGAGTTCTCAGAGGACAAGGAATGCTTCCGTTTAATAACCACTGTGAACTTTTTTAATTTTCTGGTTTTTTGAGACAAGGCCTCACTGTGTCTCCCAGGCTAGCCTTGAATTCACAATTCACCTGCCACCAGTTCCTACATGCTAGGATTACAGGAGTGAGCCACCAGACCCAGACACAATTTGAATTTAAAATTAGTTCCCTTTTAAATACCCAATAATAATCCAGTGTAATGAAACATCATTGGAAACTATTTTCTGTGGGTTACAAAAGCCGTCAGCCTCAATAGGCATCAATCATCACTACTCTCTTGGCCTTCTTGCTGGTTTCTGGCTGCCATATCTAGAATTGTTTGAGGGATTCTTGCAGAGGATGTTGTGTCCATGTGGTTTTTCAGGATAGATGCCCAAGAACCTGAAGGCTTTTACAAAATCAAGCTTACTTAAGTAATGTGAGCCTCTTTTCACAAAGACATGCAGAAATCTCTCAGATGCCTGTGATGGGAGTCTTAGACAAGGTCCTCCTCTTCTGAGAAGTGATCTCTGTTATATGGGCCTGAATCCCATCTCCACATCAGACTGAGGCAAGTGGAGTGTCTGCCTGTCTGTACTCTAAATGCAGAAATAATGTAATAATAATAATAAGTATGTTTAAGGGAAAGTTTTATTCCGATTCAAAGCTTGTTTCTGTAGATTCTTGGAATTTCCCTCTGTAAGGAAACAAGCAATCAGATAGGTATCCAACACTGCATGTGATTTGATGACACTGGTTCATTTAGGTATGTGTGGGCATAAATATCCATCTTTCTTACCTTAAACTCTATTAAGCCCCACTTGTTAGTTCTTTTAAAAACCAAACCATTACCAGCTGAGTTGTCTGGTAACCTTGGATCTGACAAGGCAAACTACCTGAGCTGATGAACTTTCCCAGCTCCTCATTTTCCACATGCGAGTGAAAAGAGTCATCCTTGCTGTCATCAAAGCCCTCCTCCTCTATGAGCGGGATCTCAACATTTTCATAAAGCCTTGCAAGCTGCTGCTTTTCCTCAGCCTTTACCAATCGACTGGAAGATAAAGATGAATGTAAAAGCAAAACTCTTTTACACTGAATCATCATACCTTGATTATGAGATTTTTTTAACCAACAAAGAATTATTTATATGGTGGGGGAGGAAGGAGGCAGAAATAGATGTGAGATTTCAAGTTTCTGTGCTGACCCAGCTGATTTATGCCAAGGAGCAACTCTGATAATCTCAAAGCCTAGATCAAAACCTGGAACTGGAAGAAGTGTTTCCAGTTTGCACAAAATTTAATGGGTTACCAAAAAAAAGCACAATCAAGATTAATAATATTTCTCTCCCTTTTAAAAGTATTTTATTTATTACTTTCATTTTATGTGTATGAGTGTATTGCCTGCATGTATAGCGGGTGCACCTGTGTCATGCAAAGCCACAGAAGTCGGAAGAGGGCTTCAGATTCCCCTGGAACTGGAGTTAAGGACGGTTCATAGCCGCCATGTGGGTATTGGGAATCAAACCTGGGTCCTCTGCAAGAGCAGTCAACACTCTCAACATTTTAAAGCAATCTGATACAAAAAATAAAAATCAATGCCAAGAAATCCATGATGAGCAAAATATTAGCATTTTAAATAAATACAGAGTGTGTCTGCAGAGATGGCTCAGTCCCCAGCACCCATGTCAGGTAGCTCACAACCACCTGTAACTCCAGTTTCAGAGGATCTGACACTCTCTTCTGAATTACACAGACACTGCACTCACATGCATATAGTGCGCACAGACACACACACACAGAATTTTATAATAAAAATGTTTTTAAAATAAACACAAGATGAGTATTACTGATTGTCCCTGTGCTGAGGCTCTAATACCCTGGCCTAACTAAGCACTATTACTTATTACTGACCCTGTACTTAAGATATTGATAAGCAAAGAGCTTATCATACAGCATGAGAACCTGAGTTCAGTTCCGACTACCCACATAAAACACAAAGCTTGGTGATTATGTGTTTGTAATCTCAAACCTGGGAAGTCAAATATAGGAGAATCCTTGGAGCTCATAGGCTAATAAATCTAGCCTAATTAGTGAGCCCTGGGTCCCAAAGAGAGACCATGTCTCAAAAGATAAATTGGAAGGTACCTAAGGCATACCAGAGACTGACCTCTAATCACACACACACACACACACACACACACACACACACACACACAGGTTATTTTGCAAACTATGGCTATTTGTGCCTTGATATCATTTGGGGCATTGAGATACAGTCTCCCTATTGCCCCAGCTGACCTGGAATTCGCTATGTAGACCAGGCTGGCCTTGATCTCACAGAGTTCCAACTGCCTCTGCCCCCTGGTGCTGGGATTAAAGGTGTGTGCCACCATGCCCAACTGAAGGTATAATTGCAAAGCATTACATTAAAGTATGATTTATTCTGGTTAGTGAATTCTTCAGCACTCCCTTAAATTTTGCACCTGAGGTGGTGCCCCACTCTTTTCTCTGTAGGTCCAGTTCTGGGAGTGGATTATTGAATGGCTGTTTGTGTTTGATGTGGAAATGGATGATAATGTTTTACGTTTTTTCATGACAAACTTCCCAGTTCTGTGTGACTTGGGTAAAAACAAAATAACTTTTAGGGTTAGCTTATTTATATTCCAAAGACCAGTGATAGAAAAGGGGATGAGGATGGGAGAACATCCCAGAAGCATGCTATGAGATGCCAAAAATTGTCTGCTCATAAAAATGATTAAATATAATTAAAATGTTGGTTTAAAGAGAGCCAGGTGCTGGTCCTAACATACAAATTTTAAGAGGATTAAAAAATACACAGGAAGGAAGGTAAGTGTCTAGAATCAGTGTTTTCAAAAACTGGTATGATACAAAAGTCCATGATAAGCTCAATATACAAAGGCACAATCTTTAGAGCAGGCTTATGAGTATGTTCCAGAACTCAAGGCTAAGGCACAAGGACCATGAGTTCCAGGCTAGCATGGGCTAAAAAGTGAGACCACATGTCCAAAGAAACTTAATTCTCATAAGTTTCTGATTACAGTTCATCTCGTTTTGCCTTCATTTGCCACATTACAGGTGGCTTTGAACTACAGAAAGTATCCCATAAAGTATCCATGTTTTCACACTTTGTTCTCATAATTAAGTATTAAGTATTAGGCTGTTTCTGTGGGATGCCAAGGAATCCTGGACTAAGAATCAGTGCCATGGAATGTGAGCTGAACAGTATGATGCCACTTTGGGCTATTAATTTCAAAATGACCATGTCACTTGAAAGAGCTTGGCCCCATGCTTTGCTTGTGCTAACGGGGTGAGGGGTCTTCTCCCAGGGTTACTGTACACCTAGACTGCATGGACAAGCTTCTGGTTAAAAACAGAGGAGTCAATTATTTCTGCTTCTGCATGGTCAAGACTTCCTCTAAAGTGTCAAGTTCATTTCTGAACATGGGATCATTCCCAAACATTAGCATCTCAATTTGTCTTTCATACATTTTTTTACCATGGCCCAACATAGGAAATATGCTTTTTTTCACAAAGAAAAATCTGGCTGACTGACTGAAAAATCTAAAAACCAGCCTCTATACCTATAACATTTTCCACTATTTTTATTACACTAAATTTTATTCTGTTCTGGTTTTCTGGAGTGAGGTGTGAATTTTTTGCATTGTTATTATGTTGGGATGGGAATGGTAGAAGTTATTTAGCATACACTTACTATATCATATAGAAGATCAAGAGCCCAGACAGCAGAGCAATGCTGAAGGCTATACACGCAACTGTAATCACTTGAACAAGATCAGATCGACGTGGAATCATTCCTAAAAATGAGAAGTTTTCAGAAACTTCATCTTAGCTGTGTCTTGCAATTAACATTTGTTAATCACATTGTCATTTTAAGAAGGAATCATGGGGCTGGCGGGATGGTTCAGCGGTTAAGAACACTGGCTGTTCTTGCAGAAGACTCGGGTTCAAATCCCAGCACCCACAGGGCAGCTAACAACTGTCTGTAACTCCAGTCCCAGGGGATCCGACAACTTCTTCTGACTTCTGCAGGCATTGCACAACATAGGTGCATTTACCTATATGCAGGCAATACAGGCATACACATAAAACAAAAAATACAATTTTTTAAAAGTTCAAGGAAGGAATCATACACTACATCAGAAATGGTTTTACAAATGATATTACTAATTTTTAAAAATACTGAGGCTAGACTGCTCAGCCTGTATGAACAAAACCAATTTTAGGGCTGGGGAAATAGATCAGCAGGTGAAGACACCCAGCCTAACAAACGCAAGTTCAATCCTTAGGACCCATATGGGAGAACAAGAGAACCAAGTTCAGCAGGTTGTTCTCTGACCTCCACAGGCACACAGACATTTGTGCCTCCCCCCACACACACCAAAAAAATGAATTAATTTTTTAAATAAATGATTTTTGTTACCAGAAATCCTGCACGCCCTTCCTTTGGGCACCTCCTTCCCAAGCCCTCTTTCTTGCTCTGTAAATATACTGGTCACTAGAGCAACACCTGTCATTTATAGATTTACTGACCCTGATAAGCAACCTGTGACCTATAAACTGACTCCCTGTCACAGCAACCCCTGTGACCTGTATATATTGATCCCTTGTAGTAACTCCTGCCACATGTCACCTTGGCTTTAGGGTCCAGGTGTTGCCTTAGTGATCTCAAGTTTTATTTTGCTGTAATAAAAGGAAACTAGAGGAATGGAGAGATGGCTCAGCAGTTAAAAGCACTGACTGCTCTTCCAGAAGACTGGGGGTTCACTCCACAGCACCCACATGGCAGCTCACAACCAAACCTAACTCTAGGTCCAGGGAGTCCAACCCCTCTTCTGGCCTCTGTGGGCATTGCATACCTGTGGTTCACTTTCATACATGAAGGCAGAACACTCATATGTATAAAATACATAAATAAATAAAATTGTTTTAAAGAGTATCACTGTACAATTTATAATAGAATTTTAGAAACCTGTATTCCAAGAGTTATATTTCAGGGCTTCGGTATGTACTATGAACTCATGGATGTTCTCTGTATGTTCAGATGTGACATTCTTCTGTTTTGTTTCTGAACCTTAAAAAAAAAATGCACATTGGCCGGGCGTGGTGGCGCACGCCTTTAATCCCAGCACTCAGGAGGCTGAGGCAGGCAGATCTCTGTCAGTTCAAGGCCAGCCTGGTCTACATAGTGAGTTCCAGGACAGCTGGGGCTACATGGAGACCCTGTCTCAAAAAGACCAAAAAAAATGTTAATTTGGATCATCTATTTCTTTTGTTTAATTTGGCTAAAGCTTTGTCAATCTTGTTAATCTGTTCAAAGAACTAACTCTTGATTTCACTGACTCTTTGTACTGTTTTTGGTTGTTGTTTTTATTTTATTTTCAGTCCTAATTTTGATTATCACTTCCCACCTTTTAGAATTTTTTTTTATTTAGTTTTTATTTCTTATGTGTCTGAGTGTTTTCCCTACAAGTACACCTGGGCTTGCAATACCTGCAGAGGCCAGAAGAGGGCAACAGATCTCTTATAAATAAGGTTGCAGATGGTTGTTAGCTAACATATAGGTACTGGGAACTGAACCTGGGTCCTCTGGAAGAACAGTCAGGGCTCTTAATCACTGAGGAATCTCTCCCCCCATCTACTTTTGGGGGTGCCATTTGCTTTTCTTTTTCCAAAGCCTTCAGGTGCATCATTAACTTATTAATTTGAAATCTCTCAAATTTTTTGATGCAGGCACTTAGTGCCATAAACTTTTATCTTAGGACTGACTTAATCATATCCCATAAATTTTTATCTGTTATGATTTTATTTTCATTCCTTTACCCAGTTTTCATTCAGTGGTGTCTCTGACATGAGTTCGCATACTTGTACCTTCAACTGCTATTGATACGCAGCTTTATTCCACTGTGGTCTGACAGAATACAGGATGTTATTCCAATTTTCCTATATTTGTTAAGACTTGCTTTGTGTCCTAGTATGTGTATTAATTCCTGTCATTTCGTTGATTTTGTGGTGTTTTCTCAAATCTGTTTCAATTATCTGTCCTGGCATTATTTGTTCCCTGTGACCTCTTGGATGTGTTTAGCCTTCTGTTCAGAGGCCAGCCTGGACTATAGTGATTCTCTATCTGAAAAAAATAAGCCCCCGAAAGCAAATAATATAAATAATACAGTATAATTGCAAAGCATCTCTATCTGGGCCCATATAGTATACTCTACCACCAAAACATGTGCACCAAATTGCAAGCAAAGTCACATAGACACATTTAATATAATCTGGACGAACTCAAAGTTTCTATGCCAGCTAAGTAAATACAATGAAAGGGAAGGAAGTAGCAGTCTTAATGAGAAGAACAAACACAATGAAGAAGTCGTTTCCTGTCTATGTTATGGACTTTACCAATAACAAACACACAAGGTATATTCACATACAAACACTAGACTCTAACTTTATTTCACTGAATGAGTAACACAATCACTTACCTGTAGGTTGTGAGGGTGCCCTTGTTGATTGAATTTTAGAAAGTAACCCTCTGGGCTTGTCACTAAAACTTCTTAATAATTGTGACTGTCCATGGCCTTGAAAAGAAAACCTTTAGCAGTGAAACATCACTAACTTCTTTTTATTTCCCCAGAAATAAGTTTTTAATCCCCTCGCAATAATAAAATCCAGTTGAAGCTACCTGGTAAGCTTGCTTTCCCAACAGGATAAAGCCCATGTGTATAAGACAAGCATACATGAAATAGGCATTTCAACAAGAAACAAAATAAGAACATGAAAGAACTTTGAACCTTGTACATCACTCTAAAGTCTGTACTTTATCATACAGAAGAAATATTCAGCTACATTGCAGCATGTGGGAAAGTAAGAGGCTCTATCTCCCACAGAATGTTTGGGTTCTGACTCAGAACCACCAGTGTGAGATCAGTTCATGTTGCTTCAGTGGAATTCCTTCATGGAACCAGGCCAACCAATGGGGAGACTAACAGAATGAGAAGGGTGTCCTAGAGGCTCACCTTGCAGATCAGAATGAATGCTGCCTACTTCACCTGTGCACGGTTTTTCTCTGCGACATCACAAAGCAGAGTGGTTGTCAGGGTAGATAGAGTATCTGCAAAACCAAGGTTTTCTAGGGCTTATCACTTGAAGTCTGTGTTGCTGGAGAATCCCCATCACTGCCCATGCTCCCTACCCCTTCTCACCTCTGTCCACAAGGTAAAGGTGATTTGTTTCTCTGAAGTAACTATTTAATCATTCCAGCTTTTGAACATCTGCCTAAAATTTCAACTTCTCCCTGTGGCTCCACTTCACAATCAATCCCACTATCTCCTCCTCATAGTCACGGGGCCCTAGAAGGGCAGAACTCATGGGCACTTGACCTGATGAACTCAGGCTAAGAGAAAGTGGTAGAACATTTTGCCCAGTTTGGATAAAGGCCCTGGATTTGATTTCTAGCACCACAAAAGCCAACCAAACAAAATATCTACTCATGCTGTGGTGTGCCTCCAAACACCCACAGCATGATAGATGCTAAAGTGGCCAAGAGGTGACAGTGCTGACAAGGTCCCAACTCCTATGAAGCTCACAACCTAGTGTGGTATTCTGGAAAAGAACAAACAATAATGAAGCAAAGATAAACAATTTGTTAGATAGGGACTTGTGCTGTGATGCAACTTTTGAGAATGGCAATGACATGAAATTTGTTGAGAGGTCAGAGAGGATTACAGCATAACCTAGGATCTGGGACCCAAATGTGAAGGGGAAGGACCAGCCCCGCCAAGTGTTAGGAGAGCCCTCAAACTGAAGGAGTATTTTTTTTTTTTTTTTTTTTTTTTTTTTTTTTTTGCTTTTCACTGCCTCCTGCATTTCCATGATTTGGTCTTGACTGCTTTTTCTTCTTCTTGGAAAAACACCTCCAGTGTTTATTTTAGTAAAGATCCACTTTAGTTCATCTGAATATTTCATCTTCATTTTAAAAAGATATTCTGTTTTGAGGCAGGGTCTCACCACTTAGGACTCTCTTGCCTTGGCCTCCTGAATGAAGAAAATTCCATTGACAATTATTTTCAGTGCATTAGGTTTTGGGGGGGGGAGGTGCTTGTTTGGGTGTGTTTTTTTTTTTTTTGAGGTACTTATACTGGGGTGAACCCACAGTCCTATGCATGCTACATAAGCAAACTACCATTGAGCTATATATTCCAACCCTTTGTGTATTTTGTAGGGGGTTTTCTGTGTCCATGTGTGTATGCGTGTACATGATGTGTGTGTGTGTGTGTGTGTGTGTGTGTGTGTGTGTTTGTGTGTAAGCCAGTAGTACACATCTGGTACACATTGGTCTTCCTCAATCAGCCTCCACTTAAATTGCTTATTGAGTACACTGCAAGAGTACAGCAAGCTGGGCAAGAACAATACCTGAAACCTCCATCTTCTTTTAGAGAGAGTCTCTCACTGAATCTGGATGTCACCAATTTGGCTAACCTGACTGGCCAACAAGCTCTGAGGACCCGCCTGTCTCCACCTCCACCGTGCTGGAATTACAAGCATGTAACATTGCACCCAGATTTTCACATAGGTTCTGATAATCTACACTCAGATCCTCACGTCTTTGCAGCAAGTGTTTTTGCCATATGCCATCTTCCCAAGTCCCTCCTTTTGTATTTTTTTAGAAAGAGTGTCACTGAGTTGCCCAGGTTACAAATGAACTCACTTGGTAGCCTACTGATTGAATTTGCAATCCTCCTACCTCAGCCTCCCAAGTAGCTGATATTACAGGCCTCACCTACCAGACCTGTCTACCTTCATAATTTTAAGATCATTCCTGACATTCTTTCCCCTTTCGAAGTCAGTTGTCAGTCACATCGTTGCCACTTTAACGTATCTGTTTTGCATTGCCTATTTGGAAGGGGATTTCATTGTTTTCAATCTTAAGAGCTAAATTTGATTCATTGCTTGCTCTAGTAGATTCGCTGTCTTTTATCACCATGGAGCTATTCTGAGCCATCATCTCATTAAATGTTGTATATGAAGGCTACATCATTATATATTCAGGTTTATGAAGGAGCTGTGAAGTTTCAAAAATATGCTGGGTAAAATTAGCTGAACCTTGAGCATGTATGTCTGGAGTGCCTTGTATCATAAGAGAAATTTTATGCAAGAATTCTTGCTGGAGAGTTAACTCCAGAATGCCAGTGCTCCTCTAGTTTCTCAGGAGACATTTTGATCTCCCAAGAAGGCATAGTATGGTGATAATGTTATCTTGCTCAATGTTTTGCTCAACTGCTGTGTTCTAGCCACTTTATTATTGTTCGCTGTTCTGTAAACATTTGGCTGTAGTTCTGATGAGCATGAGAGTAAAAGCAGAGCTGCTGACACAATCAGCACTCAGGTGCATGGAAGCCCTGGGTCCCCTGGTTTCAGTTCCATGATAATCCACTCAGGTCCTGTGGCTGCCCCTGGTGGTCACAGGTTTAAGTGTTCTTTGCAGAGCCCCCTTGTTTGGGGGAAAAGACAAGCCTGTTTGCAGCCCCACCTCAAAGCTTTTCAATTCTTTCAATGTTGCCATCATCTCTTTCACATGTTTCCTGGTCTCCAAAACACGGGACACTCTTTTTTTAAATATTTTATTATTTTTTATTTTATGCATATGAGTGTATTGCCTGCATGCAAGTTAAGTGCCCTCATGTCGTGCAATGCCTGCAGAAGATGGAAGAGACTGTCGGATCCCCTGGGACTGGAGTTACAGACAGTTGTGAGCTGCCATGTGGGTGCTGGGTTTCGAACCCAGGTCTTCTGCAAGAACAACCAGTGTTCTTAACCACTGAGCCATCTCTCCCGCCCCACGGGACACTCTTTTTAAGTCAAGATTCTGTATCCATTGATGAGGTCAGCAGTTGGTGTCATGTGAATAGGCTAACAGCCTCTGCTCACCAGCTCTGCCAAACCCTCCCATCCTGGCCAGACTTCCTGTAGACTTTCTCTCTCCATGTGGCCTCTCCCCTTCTGCCCTTTGTACTACGTCTTTCTTTAATACCATCTCCCCACTTTTTTTCCCTTCAGAGTACAGAACATTTAAAAAAAATTCAACCTGGTGTATGTGTGTGAATGCATATGCATGTCACACCACACACACACACACACACACACACACATACACACAAAGTAGAGTTCAAAGGACAACTTAAGAGAGTCAATTCTCTCCTTCCACCATGTGGATCCCAGATATCAAATTCAAGCACCTTTATCAGTTGTCATCTGACCAACCCATCACTCACTTCTCTTTTTAAAATATTACCCTCACCAAGTTTGCAATGGTAAGGATGATGTTTAGTGACTACTATGTCCCACAATGACACTTTATGTGTCTCCCACCTTCCTTGTGAGCATTCCTACTAAGGTACTTTTCAGCCTAGGTGGAAGGAGTATGGATGGAAAGCAGTGACCAATAGACTATAATGGGGAGGGACTGAGACTGATGCCTGTAAGGTGTTGTCTCCATGGTGTGCCCCATCCAGATGGCCCAGTGCCCACACAAGGGACAGAACTCCATTCGCCTTGCCTATTTGTTTCCTTCTCCCTGTCTTCCCTCTCTGGCCCCAGCTTGCTCATTCTTCTCCTTTGGCTCACTCATCTTTACTGTCTCTACAACACAGCATCCAAAAAGATAGCACCAAATGTTCAGCTCTTTTAATTGAATGATACTTTGAGTCTCAAATGACCATGGACTTTAAAACTTCTGAAACCGCCATCCAAAACCTTTCCTCCTTCATTATAAAAAACCTTCAGCTATTTTATCATAGCAATGGGAATCTAACACAACAGTCAACAAGGATGGGAATAAGATGGCTCAACAGATAGTAGAGGGTTCTAGAAGAATGGAAGTGGCTGACTGTGGAGGAGGATGGTAAAGGACAAAACTGCCAGAGGAGTCACAGGACTTTCAAGGTCAGGACATCAAAAGATTACCAAACTGTGTTAGAATCAAGAATAATTGTGATGAGATAGTTTTAGATGAAGAGGCAGAAAATGAAGCCACTGAGATTTGCAGATGATGAGCCATTGGTAGAGGACTGCAGCTAGAAGCAGTAGGTGACCACTGACATGCTGAGTCAGAGCTGGGTTTCAGAGAAAAGGGGCAGAGAGCAAGCTAGAGGGACGAGGTTAAAAGGAAAGGCAAGCAGTCATTCTTGGACAGGAGAAAATGCACAGGTGAGACCCACAGGGAGGAAATTCAGACAGCTGAAAAGAAGTGGGCCAGGCAGGTTGGAGTTCAGGAGGAGTGAAATGAGAGTCAAAAAGGGCAATGATCTGAGCCATATATGGTCTAGAGTGGGGATAATCAAAGGGAGCCCAGGAGTCCTGGGCATAACACTAGAGTCTTGATACTCCAGTGCCATGCATGTGTAAGGCTATATATAAGAAGTGGTAGGGAATCTTTCCCAGAAAAAAACAACAACCAAAAAACCCCACAGTAGTCTGGGGCTTGTGTGTGTGTGTGTGTGTGTGTGTGTGTGTACTGCTAGGTATTAGAACCAAGGCCATGCACTCTGCACGTCTGCACATGCTAAGCAAGCCCTCCTCCTGAGCTATACACTTAGCCCTGGGACTTTCTTTTGACTCCTGATATGGACTCACCATGAAAGGCCTTTTTAAGAATGTGTTTTAAAATATTGCTAATAAAACTATAAAATAAGCCACCAGAGTGTTTATGATATTTTGCATGGTATTAGAACCAAGGCCATGCACTCTGCACATCTGCACATGCTAAGCAAGCCCTCCTCCTGAGCTATACACTTAGCCCTGGGACTTTCTTTTGACTCCTGATATGGACTCACCATGAAAGGCCTTTTTAAGAATGTGTTTTAAAATATTGCTAATAAAACTATAAAATAAGCCACCAGAGTGTTTATGATATTTTGCATGTGACTTACATAATTCCTTGGGAATATAAATCCAAATCTATAAATCCAAGAAACAGGACTGAGGTACTAGAATGCAATATCCATATCATATTGGAAGTATAGCTCTAAATACACTATCCATCCTCTTCCAGAGATATTACTATTTTCTCCTTTTTCTGCAAGGTATTGCAAAAATCACAAGAGAAATCCATCTATTACTTTGTTCCTGCAACATTTATTGAGTGGCAATCAAGCACTGGAAAGGAGGGTACTAAATGCTACATTCCAAGGTGGCTGCCGCTGTAAGAGTTGGAAGTGAACACAGCATCCTGGCACTAGTATGCCACCATTTCTCACCACTGGGGAGTCCTGGACCTGTGGAGGGCTAGAGAAACCTTGATGGAACAAGCCTTTGCCCAAGTCCTTGAATCCTCTTTCACCCGTTTCTCCTGAAAAGAGACTGATAGACTCATGCAGAACTCTTAATCTGAGTCCTCCCTCCTACCAAGCAAGCTTTTCATCTAGAGAAGAAAAAAAGCAATGAATTCAGTGGTTACCTTGAAAGATGGTGTGCCAATGGGCACTGATGTTCAACATGGCAAAGAACAGACTCCTTGCCTCTGTTTCATCATAGGCATTTCTAAACCCACAGGCTTGCCCAAGTTCTCACTGCCCTGCTGGTATGTAACCCCAAAGCTGTGAACAGTGAAATTCTAGGGAAGTCAAGTCCCTAACTGGGGAGAAAGTGGTTCTCAATGTTCAACTGAGACCTCTCCATATTCCAAAGTAATACTAGCTCTCAAGTTAGCATAAATCCTTCAGGACACAGGAATCAAGTAATGTCATTTTCCATTGTTTAAGTTTTATTATCAAATCCCTACTTTAGAAACACTGAACAACAGTGAGGGGGAAAAAACATTAGAGAAAAACATCACTGGAGAGCGCATAACACAGTGGTTAAAAACAAACTCTGGAGCCAAACAATCTCAACTGCACCCTTACCAGCTATGATCCTTGGGTATGATACCCAACATCTCTGCTTCTGTATCTATGTGTGAAACTGGGATAGTAAAATTGCCTACATCATAGAGTTAAGGAGCTCAAACGAATTAATATTTTTAAAACATTTAACACAAAGTTGAGCACATGAGAGCTATATGTATTTGAACCCCCCCCCCCGCCAAAAAAAACATTTAAATTAACTGGGTTAATTTCTCCATGGATCTAACAGGTCTTTATCCATATGCACTTTTTAAGATCTGTTACCATAGGTAGTATATATACAATTCTGTGTCCTTTTTCTGTTTCATGTTACATATATTGATAGTGCCCATAATTATAATTTATAATAATAGCCTAAAACAGTTACAAACTGCCTAATAATTCAGTGACAATGGACACTGACACAGTAGAATAAGTACCACTTTTTGTTCCAAAAATCAGTCTCATACTTCTAGGCAACAACCTCTATCATTAGTAATTTCACTTACTAATCTTTTCTAAGGAGGTTAATCTTAATAAACAGTAAATATTCACTCAGTTCTATACTATTTTCTTTCTTAAATTCAGATTTAGTATTCCATATTCTAGCCCTTAAAGAGCACCTAGACCCTCCCCTTATCATAGCAAAATCTATTTCTATGATTATGCACAAAATGGTAAGCTTTCCATCTAATATTCCAAGTAGATGAAAAACTACTTCCAGTCAAAACACTATTCTTGGCATAGGCTTTCCCTTTAACAATACACATTGATCTACAAATAAGAGCTCTTGCTAAAAGATTCCCCAGTCATGTTCCCCTAATATACATTCCTTGTGGACAATGTAGGAAGTTTAGAGCATTCTTCTCTATAATTACATGATGTCAAATAAGGCTACATAACTGCTAGAAGCTTTTCCCTAGTTTTTCCACTCAAATGTTTCTTCTACAAAGATATTTCCTATCTACTAATAAAGGCAGAAGTCTTTCTGAACTCATGGTTAAAAAAACAAACAACAACAACAAAAAAAACCAACTTCCCTTATACTTACAGGCTTTGTTTTTTTGTTTTCCCAATGTGACAAACATACAATAAAAGAAAAAGCTCCGATCAATTCAGTTACAGTTTCTTTTCACTGTGATTTCTCTGGTGTTGAAGTAGGGCTGAATGGCCACTAAAGGCTCTTCCACACTGATTACATATAAAGCGTTTCTCTCCACTATGCATTCTTTGATGAATAATCAGGGAAGAATTTTTACAGAAAGCTTTTTCACAATGATTACATTTGTAGGGTTTCTCTCCGGTATGGTTTCTCAAGTGCACAATAAGAGAAGAACTCTCATTAAACGCTTTCCCACATTCATTACACCTGTATGGTTTCTCTCCGGTATGAGTTCTCCGGTGTGCTATAAGATGAGAGCTACAATTAAAGGATCGTTCACACTGATTACATTTATAGGGTTTCTCACCGGTGTGAATTCTCCGATGAGCAACAAGGTGACAGCTCTGACTAAAGGATTTCCCACATTTATTGCATTCATAGGGTTTTTCTCCAGTATGAGTCCTTTGATGCCTAACAAGGTGAGCCATCTGGCTACAGGATTTTCCACATTTATTACATTCATAGGGTTTAATTCCAGAGTGAATGATTTCATGTTTAGTAAGAGCTGAGCGTTCTCTGAAAGCTTTGCCACATTCTTGACAATTATAAGGTTTCTCGCCCGTGTGAGTTCTCTGATGAGCAATAAGATGGGAACTCCAACTGAAGGATTTTCCACACTCAGTACATTTATATGGTTTTGCTCCAGAGTGAGTTCTTTCATGTTTACTAAGGGCTGAATAGTCCCTAAAAGCTTTTTCACATTCATCACATTTAAAGGGCTTTTCTCCAGTGTGCATCCTCATGTGGGCAATAAGATGAGAGCTCCAGCTGAAAGACTTCCCACACTCAGTACACTCAAAAGGTTTCTCTCCAGTATGAGTTCTCTGATGTCCAATAAGATGGGAGTTCCAGTTGAAAGATTTCCCACATTCATTACATACATAAGGTTTTTCTCCTGTATGAATTCTTGTGTGCACAATAAGATGAGAATTCCAACTAAAGGCTTTCCCACATTTATTACATTCATAGGGTTTTATTCCAGTGTGAGTCCGTTCATGTTTAGTAAGGGCTGAACGGTTCCTAAAAACTTTTCCACATTTATCACATTCATAGGGTTTCTCTCCAGTATGAGTTTTCTTATGCTGAATAAGGTAAGAGCTCCAGATGAAAGACGTTCCACATTCATTATATTCATAGGGTTTTTCTGCATTGTAAGTGCTTGTATGTTCAGTAAGGAATGAGTCATAACCAAAGACCTTCTCCCATTCATTGTATTTATATGCTTTCTCTACAGTCCCAATTTTTTGATGTTCCAAAAAGGATGAGAAGTAAAAGATATTCTCATACTCCTTGTAGCCATACTGGTTTTCCCCTATTTGAAGTCCTGAATGTTCATTAAGTGACGGGCTCTGGTTAAAAATTTGATGGCATTCTTTATATTCATAGAGCTTTTCTCCTTTATGTATACCTTTATGATCACCAAAATGTATAATATGATTGAAAGACTTGACAGCATCAGTATATTTGAAAAGATTATCTCCACTTTGCATTTGTGTAGGGTAAACAGGCTGAAGAGTCTGGTAGAAAGTCTTGTCATAATCATTATTTTCACAGGTAACCTTATCCGCATACATTATGGCTGAGTTGCACCTCCAACTTTCAAGATGTGTTTCGGGTTTATAGAAATGTTCTAAATGAGAAACTCTCTGAGATGGAACCAAGTTTAAGCTCTGGTTATACTCTGTTCCAAGTTCACAAAATTCGGCACCTTTTTGAGACAGTACTTGTTTCTGCATGAAGACCATTTGCCTCATACCTGTACTCTGCTTCATGTGGTACATTTCTAATTGGTCTTTACATCCCCAAACCCCTAACCTGGAGAGCCAAGGATCATCCCATATGTATCTTTCTAACTTCATGCCATTAGATTTTTCTTCCTCAAAAACACTCTGTGCCGGAATCAATGTTTTGTTTGCAAGATTTTCCATCCACTCTGAAACAGATGGGGAAAAATGTGATTGCATAGAGAAAGACCTCAGGATTGGTGCAATTTATTGATCACATTATTGAAAAGGCTAGAGCATATTTGTTTTCAAGTACAGATGCTGAAACCAGAGAAATGCCATAATAGAGTGAAAAGTAAATAATAGTTAACCAGAATAGAAAGTATATTTGTGACAAGTAACAAAACCACTGAGGAGTACTTTCTCATGAAAAGGAGGGTTTGCAGGAAAAGTTAACTATGCAGAACCGAGCTACTTAATCCATGCACATTAGCAAAAAGGTTTACTTCATAACTGATTCTTGGCCAACTCCCAGGAATTGAGGCTCAAATGCTGTAAATGTTATAACAGCTTTTCATGCTCAGGGCCTTGAAGCAGACTGTACCAATTTCTCTAGATAGTTGGGCATCTGGAGTTTTAGTGATCTCAGTCACATAGGTACTATAAACCTATATGATCAACACACAATAAATATACTGGGCATTAGATTAGGCTCAGCCAAGTTTCTCAGTAGGCAAATTCAAACAATTTCTTGCTAGAATATACACTACACTGGGAAAATACCAATGGGAGCTCATATTTGGCTTCCTCTGCCTTCCACTGATGTTGCTTTGTATCTTTTACAGTAACAAACTCTATCCCTGAGGATAGAGTTTTGAGACCTGTAAGTCATACTAGGGGCAATACTGGAGAACCTTGACAAAAAGACAG